TGGACAGAATCCTCAATAGAACAAGGCTGATCAGAAACAATGGGGTCTAATGATACCTTACCCCCAGCTAAATCATTGCCTAAAAGCAATGCGACTCCTTCAACAGGAAGTTGTGGCCTAACACCAACAATAACTGGCCCTTTGACTAACTCCGATGTGATATGAATACGATGGAGGGGAACTTTAGTAAAACCTAATTCAATGCCTTGCATCAAAATATGGGTACCTGTGAATGACTCCTCAGATAAAGGAAGGACACCTTCTAACAACAAGGTCTGAGATGCACCCGTGTCTCTTAGAATCTTAACTGGCTTTGAATTGGTATCATCACTTGACAGTGACACAGATCCTTCCGACATGAAAGGCTTATAATCCTCCATAATATCACTATGAGTAGATTTCTCAGTATGAGTATATGAATCCCAAACAATGGGCTTTCTTGAAATGGGAACTGTAGCACAACCATTTGAATGAGCAGAACCAGACATCTCTCTTCTATTCTTAATCCTATAGCATTCAGAAATAAGATGACCAGGCTTTTTACAATAATTACAGGTGACATTTGATTTTGGACCTGAAGAATTTGATTGATCAGATTTTGAGCTAAAACTCTGTGATGAATTAGACTGGTCTTTTGCTTTGTTTGATGTATTTGATGATGAGGACTGATTTGATTTTGAATCATATGAAGGTTTGTTACCTTGATAACCTCTAAAGTTAGGATTACCTTTGATAAAACTACCCTTATGAGTAAGAGCATAATCATCAGACAGGGTGGCTGCTTGACTTAAAGTTTCTACCTTGTGTTCATCTAAGTAAGTTCTAATGTGATACTGAACACAGTTTTTAAATTGTTCTATTAGCATAAGCTCTCTGAGCTTTTTAAACTCTTCAGATACATCTTTAGAGACAAGCCACCTGTCAAAAAGCTGCTCTTGCTCTCGAGCAAACTCAACATGGGTTTGGTCACTCTGTTTGTGGGCATTTCTAAATTTCTGTCTGTAAGCTTCTGGCACTAGTTCATAAGCTTTAAGAATTGCATTTTTAATTAGGTCATAATCAGAGCATGCTTCTGCTGAGAGAGAGGCAAATATTTCACTTGCTTTACCAATGAATACACTCTGAAGCATAACTGGCCATGCTGATTTAGGCCAGTCTAGGCTCTGAGCGACTTTTTCAAAATGCGTGAAGTATTTATCAACATTTTTCTCCTGAAATTTAGGTACAAATTTGAGAAATTTTGAAGCGTCAAACCTATTTTCAAAATGTTGATGCATAGTAGCATGTTCATCAGTTTTTGATTGAGCTTCTAATTCAAGTCGTTTTAATTCAACTTCTTTTTCTTTTTGAATTTCTTGTTCTCTCAATCTTATTTCTTTTTCATTTTGCATTTCTTTCTCTCTCAATTCTCTAGTTTCTCTTTCATTTTGTTGTTGTGTTCTAATTTCAAGCTCTCTCAATTCAAGTTCTTTGAGCCTAATAGGATCAACTTGCTCAACATGCTGGGCTGGCTGCTCAGGCAGAAGTGATTCTGCGACCAAATATTGAAGTACAAAGTTTTTAATTGTATCCTTTTTGTATGAGCTTTTGACTGACAGGCCAACATGTTTTGCAATTGTCAGAAGTTCAGTTTTCTTTAAATCATCAAATTCCTCCAAAGAGGGCGCTTCTAAAAATGTCTCAACCTCAAAACTCATTTTCGATTAATTGCTGTCTTCACAATTTAAATATACAATTTTTGAATTTTGAAATATTTGAATTTTAGCTTGTTGTAGTTGTATCCCGGACGAGCCCCCAATTTCTGTTACGTTCGAAAATAACAGAAGGTAAAAACAGCAATTAAAATATAACAATGTACAGTAATATATTTTTGAAAACTAAATGCGATGACAATAATATATAAAAGTCAATACTTATGATACGTAGATGTAGAGAAATGATACGCCTGTCTCTTGATGTCGATAAATATCCTTGAGAATGTTCCAGATCACGAAGCGTTTCAATAATCGTTAATAATGCTCCAATGTTTGTAATAATCCAATAATGTTTGTTGTAATCCTATAATGTTCGTATCCAATAATGTTTGATGATAATCCACAAATGTTTGATGATAATCCACAAATGTTTATGATAATCCACGAATGTATATGATAATCCACGAATGTATATGATAATCCGTATATATTGTGTGTTGTAATATTTGTCCATATAAAGTCCTCAGGTTGTGTGTTTTAGTGTTATAAATGTTCCCACAGTAGGTGTCTGTAATATTCCGCTAAGAAGATGTCCTTTGATCAACTTTGAAATTCTGCTTTATTTAGTTCCTTTGAGATGTCCAGTTATGATTACTTAATTATCTGCTACTGAGTCCACTTTGCAGTTTTATTTATAGTGTGAAAGAATCATCTAGAAAGAATCTTCTGGAACTGAGACTACTTGTTGAGTTTTGATTGGACATCTCCAGTCACATGATTAAGTCTTAATGAATGGTTATATTTTCTAGAACTCTCTGGATGGTCAAGAGTTAACGAGTCATTCAGTTCAGTTCTGTTTACAAGATACAGTGTATAATGTCATTGTGACCTTGACCCAAGATCTCTAATAAAGATCAGTTACAGTATATACATATAGATAAACTAAACTTAATGTGAATATAATAGAACATAATACTGTAACAATCGGGTACCTGTTTTAGACACAACATTGATTTAGCTTGACATTGATGTGCACATTGGCACTTTTGAGCATGTTAATACAAGTTTTTACACTCTTAGCACGAGACGGGTTTTCGAAAAATCTGTTATCTGATTCACTCGATTATCGTATGGATATGTATTTCTGCTGACATTTCAACACCACATCACATAGAATTACGATGCAGAATGATAATAAAACACAAAACAACTACTAAATTCCACTTGTTATTTCACAGGAGGTAAAAATGCAAACTGCCTAGATTCTTTGTAAGGGTCGTCAGACATCGGATTGGCCGCCATATTTGAAATGAAAATATCACTAAATAGAGGTCTGCGCATGCCTCAACATTTCGACTGATCAGATCATATATCACCAACAGCTGACTTGAGAAGATTATAAATTGTTTGATTTTATCATTTCTCATCATTATGTGATTTTGACTCTAACCATGAAATGCTGCATTTGACTCCAAGTATAAACTTCTTTTCTTCAGGAACTTCCATCTTTCCTAGTTAACTATTTTGTTTATCATTGTGATTTTTATGCCACCCACCAGAAGTAGTGACATATTGTTATAATCTCAAACTGTGGTGTTTGTCATGTGTAACAAATGGTAGGTAGTGACATTTGCATGTTAATGCCTTGTGTAATATTAACATGTTAATGGTTAAACACTAAGACCATCCAGGGATGACTGGCCAATATATTTTGTAAAAAGGTCATCAGCAAGATAAATGTCAATAATTAAGTTTATTTATGGAGATAGAGTTGAGAACAATAGTTCAAAATAATTGGGTTCTCCTTATCGCGCATTCTAGAGTTCAAAGTAACTTTCTAATTTCCTCATCTCCCAATTAGTATTGTTCTCTGAATTAATTATGTGATAACTTTTTTTTATCTTCCTTTTACATTTCCCTTGTTTGGGTATTACATTTAATTCATGTCATTGTCATCTCCTTCAGATTAGGGAAGTAGAGAGAATGGGGGACCACAGGCTAGGGCATTGTCCAGACTCCAAAAGTACTATTCAAGATTCCTCATTGAAAAATATAGTTTTTCATCAAATTTTTATACTTTTCTATTTTTTCTGACCCTGTGTTAGAGAGAATATGGAGGAGGGTCGGCATACTTTTCAAGTGATTTTGGTCCAAACCTGTGTTAGCAAGCAAGGCAAGATTTTTTCATGATCCTCTTTTCCTGAATTTTTGTCGAGTACGAAATGTGTGTTGTTTCAATCTACCTTGTTTATTTTTTCTATGTAGAGAATTAAGCCATTTATACAGGTGTATGAGATATGTTAACAAGGCATGCCACTATCTTCAGAACTTTCTAATGGAATATCCTTCCATATAATGTCACGCTGTATGTTGAAATTTTGGATAGTCTGTAAAGGGAGGAATAAACAAGGAATAAAATATACACTCAACACTCTAAATTATATAACAATGATAAAAACTTCATTCATATTTGAGAAATTATGTGAAATAAGCATGAGCAAGCAGTATTCTACAACAGGTATCATAAGCATAACATCAGATGCACATCTTGAATCTCAGATCTTTCTCGAGTGTTTTGATTTGTGAGGAAATGGGAAGTTTAAGTATTCAGAATATAGTCTTACTTTATTTATATTTAGTTTTTTTTAGGAAATATGAAAAAAAAGTATTTAAAATATAGTTTTTTCAAAATCATTTACAAGTTATCAGAAGTTCAAATCTGACTTTAGATTTAAGATTCGACCTTCAGTGACCTTCTCAAGGTCATAGAAAGGTCAAAAAGGTATTTTTCAACTTTACCAATTTCTTTTCAAATTATCTACAAGTTCTTAAAAGTTCAAATGTGACTATAGATTTGACCTTCAATGACGTTCCCAAGGTTAAAAAGGATTTGACCTTCAATGACTTTCTCAGAGTCAAAAGGGTCTTTTTTCAACTTGCTTCAAATTAACCAATTTGTTTTCAAAATCATCTGCAATTTCTCAGAAGTTCAAATCTGACAGATTTTAAATTTCACCTTGAATGACCTTCTCAGGGTCAAAGAACTCACTTCAAATTGACCAATTTTTGTTTTCAAAATTATCTACAGAGATCTCAGAAATTCAAATCTGACTCAAGATTGAACTAATAATATTGTAAGCAACTTGGTGGTGACATTTTGTCATGTTAATGCCTTGTTTTATTTGTAGTCTTTATTAGTTTTGTAAAGTTTTTGATTTGATTCTTTATTCATCACAATTTGCATGTTTACAAGATGAAAAATATTTTGATCACAAATAATAATGAAAATCATTTTTGTATTTTCAGCTAACAACTAACGCTGCTAGACCTCCATGTCCCCCAGCATTCCCAGATCTGCTCCAGTTCTTTAAAGATGTACCAGATCCACAGCTTCAACAACTGATCAATTCTGTAAAGCAACGAGCAAAGCACAATTGCTCATGTGAAGCAGCATCAACTAATATAGGAATATTTAATGACAACCGTTGCAACGTATCATTGAACATCACCAAACCTGCTCAGTGTCTCCCTGGGTACATACCTCCTGTGGTTACCACAGCAACCAGCATTCCAACAACAGTTATAACAGAAAAAAGTACCTCTGGAAATAAGATAGAGGAGACAATACCAACAACAAAGGGGAAAGTGACAACATATAGCACGACATCTGCCCCATATAACCAGACTGATCTTCTTGCTCTTGTTGACAAAGATGGTGTTAATGTTGCTGTGATTGTCATAGTGACGATACTCGCACTGCTGATTTGTACATTTATCGTAGCGATGGCTCTATACAGGTATGTATTTCATTTCATTTGCAATAATTTATATGATCTTGATATGGGTTCAAATTGATTTTTTCTCCTTACACTTGTAGGTAATTCTCAAGTTCTCATAGGGGCTGGAGAAACTGAGAGATCGCTTTATTTGATCTAAATCAAATCATTTACTGTCATGCTCTGGTTCCCTAAATCAAACTGATTATACCACAGCTGTTCATATATCCTAATTTGGGCTTTATTAAGACATTATTGCATAATAATAGTGATATACTTTTGTTGAGAAATATTTTTCAAGTGAAAATTATTGAACACACGCAAATATCTAGTTATCCCATTGCTGAACTTATTGCTAACTTCTCTATTCAGTATACCTAAACCTAATTATGATTGATATTTATGTGAAGCCACTGTCACAGTACCAAAGATATAATCCTAAATATGTTGAATGCAGAAAATATGGAACAATAAAATAAAATATTGCGCCCCTAAAACCAGGAATTGGGCCCAAATTTTGTAAGTTTAAGGCCCATTTTTGAAAATTTGGCCTTAATACCCAAAAAGGCCCTACAAGATTTTCCTGGATCCGTCAATGGCTAAGAATGGGGATGTAAAATGAATACAAAGTTACTTTTTTGCCAACCAATATTGTTACATTTAAAATGGTCATTGAATTATCATGCAATCCCGTTCATTGTTTTAATGGATTTACTACTCAGTGCTGCTGCTGTTATCAACATTTCAAAGTGTAAGATTTGTATTGAAACATGCCTTGGTTTCCAGTCATGACAGGCCAGACACCTAATAAAAACAATACAACCACAGATCAAAACATTAAGTCTCTTGTTTTGCCAAGGAGGATGTTACATTTTCATCAATGTAATTAACCCTCTCTTCTCATGTCATCTGTAGTGCTTATGCCTTTATACAGTTGTATACATGTATGATGTTCATTCTTGATATATGCAAATACCATTCCTGATTTGTATTGTTTCCATCAAATTAATATGCCTACCTTTCCCCATGCATGGTCTTGGTTTAATTGAATTGATTTTTCATCTCAAAATGACTTGAGTGATGTAAATAATACACCTATAGGTGTGACTACATGTATATTCTGCCCAAAGGATGAATCTTTAAATTCAACCAGATGGCCTGTTATACAATGTATATTAGGTTATATTATGAAGTTGAACTTGCAAACATCCATATCTAATTTACCATATGTATTAGTTGTTAAAATGTATGGTCAAAACCTGTAAGTGATTTATTCTGGTAAATTGGTAAAAGCTGGTTTGACCATTGGTGTAATATTGATGGAAATGAACTTAAAATAGAGTGAATTTAGCAAGGAAGAAAATAGATAATGGTTAGCTTGTATAAAAAAAGATTTAAACTGTTTAGCAATAATAAAAAGAAGTCACATTCCCAAAAAATTGAAAATCAAGAGGCATGTGTGACAAAATGTCTACCTTCAGGGGGTTTCAAAAAGTGTAACCAATTATCCAAAATAACATGAAAATGAAAACCATTCAATGTCTGGTTCACATTTTGTGGTAATGCCTTAAATCTGTGATGGTATGTAATAACATTCGTGCCTAGATTGCCATGAAATCTGAACATTTGAAATCTTTCCATTTCATATATAATTCTGCTTGGAAAATATTTGTTTTGACACAGATCCAAGCAACCCAGCTTGATTGTGTATTATTTCATACATCCTATGATCAAAAGTATATACTGATTATGCTCATTCCACTTGTCTTCTCATGCAAGTTAACTGACTGATTTTCCAGCATTTCTGTAGAATATCAGCATTTTGACCATTTTCTTAATTCCTTGCTAATTCCTGTCTTTTCTACTCAATATTCATTTCAAAACACGCTATACCTCAATAATCAAGAAATGTGATTCCAGGATTAGTTAAGGTCACAGTGTTTTCTGGCTGATATTGATTTCTATTTTCACATTATACCTGAATTTACCTGAATCCCATTAGTTCTCTTTACTTAGCACTCTATTGATGTCGGAAATTATTGATGATCTTACTAAATTAATTTGAGCATGTATAATATTATAGTACATTATAGTATATTATCTTTGTATTAGAGATGTTTTTCATTTCGGATTATCAAGGTATGAAGTTTTCATACCTATGATTGAAAATGATTGGAGACACATATACTCGTAATTCATTTTTTATCTTGCTGTTACTGTTTTTTATTCATTTGGCATTTCTTTGTTTCTGATATGTTATATTCCTTGTTGTTTTTCATTTAAATGTTTGGGATCCATCATGTTTTGTTTTGGTTTATTGAGACTATCAGTATCATAGATAATGTGTTTGTGGTATGAGATATTTGGCCATATTATAGTATTATTGGCCCTGGTTCTCATCAAGGCAGTAAGTCTATCAACACATGGAATCAATCCTACCTGTAGTCACAACTTATGGTAGACATCTCCACTTGAAATTGACTCTGATAACACCAACAGTGATTTCACCACACATTGATTTCATGCAAAATAGATCATCTAGGATAAAACTATTTCTGCTGACATGGTTGTTTCTATTCACCTTATTTCTTCTAAACATGGGTTTTTAAGAGAAAGCACGCCCATGCTCTACACAACGGCTGTAACAGTTACCTGTGGGGCCGCTGAATGTGCAGCCTACAGTATGAGAGGGAGAAGAAATTGATCTCACACAAAGCAGATAATTTAAATAAGCATAAACATATTTTTCTGACATATTCTTCATCCTCAGTGAAGAAGTAAAAATATTTGCATTAAGTTCAGCTACATATTAAAATGATATGATATTTATTAGACATTTTCTATTTTCAGATATTGTGTTGGTAAATGGTGCTGTAGCTGCTGTGGTCTCTGTCCCCAGAAGTAAGTAGACAGTCATTCAAGTTTACAAAGCTAACAAGTCTTTTGATTTAATAGTCCATTTGTCACCCCTATACATCCAATAGTGAACCTAGAAATTGTTTAAAGTACGATGTTTTATGGTCGATTTATGATAATAAGGGTTTTCTGAAGTGATTTAACTGGGTTGCCCAAAAAGTTTGTTTGGGGAAAAAATTATATAGGCTGATTAGGGAGGGGTGCAATCGCTTAACATGGCGTTGACTATTGACTTAGTGTTTTGATACCACCATATACCTGGTATGTTACCATGGTAATAGATACAAAAACTTTCCCCAAAGTTATTTTTTGGCAACCCAGCTAAATCACTCCAATAATCCCTAATGATAGTATTTACACAGAAAAACATCATACTTTTAAATATTCATACATTCAGAAAATGACAAATGGACTATAAAGTGCATATAATAATAGTATTGTCACTGGCAATGATCCATAAAAGTCCATAAATGTTAAAGCCAGGAATATGTTCTAAAAATATGACATGTTTTTGTCTTGTATTTGTAAGATTTCATTGATTATGTGGCATGTATAAATAAAGTTTAAAATGGTTCCACCAATTTTTCTCATGAGCAATGTTTCCACATGTTCTTGTTTTTTTTCAAATAAGTCTTCCCATCACATGTGCATAGCTGATTAATATATTTTCATTGAGACATTTTTTATTATTAGTATCATTTTGCTTAACTTGTTTTCTTTCAAATTCATTTCTTCTCTTGTCTATTTGTATGTTTATCTACTTATGTAAAACATATGTAATACTATTCTTCTTCGAGTTTCCCACAAAAATGAGTGGAAAAGTTATATGTTTTGAAATATTTTCTTTTTAAATTTTTTACCCTATATGTTTCAATATTCAGCCTGGGTAAATGGAAATATGGCATCTTTCAATTTTAGACTATCGCAAAGTATCAATTTTAGATATAAATTGTTCAAAAGATGCCCTATTACTCAAAAAACTAACGGGGCTTGTAATAAAAATTAACTTTATAAATGATCCATGACTAATTGGCTAAAAGAATCCATAAATTGAAATTATATTGATAAACTGCACTAAATAGACACATTCATTCACTCGACTCCCCAAGGCCATAGCTGAACATATTGAAGTCCAAGCCAAGCATGCAAATGTAAAAAGATCGAGGGTTTTTTAGGAAACTTAATTTACAGAAGACCCATGTAATATTAAAATGTCAATATAAAAAGCCACATTTCAAAATAGAGTTCAGAGAATCTATCAAGTTAGAGGGCACAAGGCTGAATTAGAAATATCTAAGGTTTATAGAAACTGTCTCTGCTATTACATGCATAGATGCATGTGAGAAAGGCTAAAATGATCATAACAAGGATATAATTTTTTTATGAATGGGATGCTTATTCTTCTGTCTTTGTTGATTAGTCTTTCCATGTATCTGCTTTGGGTTAATATCTTCTTTAGTGGTTAAAACAGGACTATAATCAATAATGACCTTACTAATTAGACCAATTACCTCCCTAATTACATTTAAATTGTTGTAAAAGTCTAGACCAGTGCTCCTCAAAGGGATATAAAGACAGAGCACTGAAAAATGTGTCTGTGATTTGTTACTATTGACATGTTTTGGGTGAAAACATCTTTCATAAACTGACCATTCGGGGAATATGGGGAAAAGATAGTAGAGTTTTGATTAACAGCTGAAACATCAAAACATCTTAGATATATAATGCCGTTAAAGATTTACCTTCTTTCTCACTATATATTATTTTTATGTTCTCATGGATTGATAAATGTAGAGATAACGAGGAAGTAGATCAACCTTTTTTCATTGAAAACTACAACTGCATTCACTTCATTTACAACTTGAGGGTCAGTGTAACTTGTTTTGGTGCAGATAAGTCAAGTGTAAAACATGAATTCACCATTAGAAGAACTGCTCTGGGATATACAGAATGTTTGGTAGAAAAAATAGTTAATTGGTTATTAACTTTTTCCTTATACTGGTTTCAGAGTTCTTTAATTGGAAACAATTTAGTGTATTCTTATTTTAAGTCTCACATAATGATTTATGTTGTTTTATGTTCAGTGTAAAGTTTAACATTATCTGCTTTTACATTGTTTCTAATCATGTAATTTTTAACATTGTCTCTTCTAACTACTCCTCTTGATCAATAATAAATCTTCATTTTTGTGAAATATCCAGATCCCTGACTCTCCTTTATTATACACCAACTAATAATCACAATTGACACTTTTATTAGCCAGGGTTATAGTTTAATACCATCATGAACATTATTTTGTCTTGATAATCATCCTTGCTGCAAGGGTATTTTACAAGTATATACCCTTGCTTCTCTCTATTCAATTGTTGGGCTTGAGCAAACAAACTGGACATTAAACAATATTAGCCTACACAACATACCTTATGAGAACTACTACACACAGTGTACAGGGGTAATTCAAATCCTGTTGAACAGTCTACAAAGCTGTCTTTATACTACAGCAGTATGCCCTTACATATCTTATGACTTAGAAGTTTGTTATATGTAACAAAAAATCATAGGATTTATACAAATATTAGCTTAAGAATAAGACATCATCCGTAGAACATTCTATAGTATGTCCAAAATTAAAATATTTAACCATTTCACGAAAAAGAAAAAGAATACTGCAGAAATATGGTGGTTTGAAGAGACACAAATGGTAAGATTATTCATAAGTTTCAGGAAAGGAGACATGTAATTGGACAATTTGCACAACGCATTTTCTGTGCATCTTTTGCGTTGACCACTAGGAGACTCATCTTATATAAGGCCCCAAGAATGAAACTACCTAGGCTTGAGTGAAGGGCTGAATTTAGGCATAAATGAAGTCCTTTGAAGAAGGATGTTGATAATGTCCAGATGCCATTTTCAGCTTTATGATCTCATTCATTTAGGTGATAATTTCATAGTTTATTTCTGTCAGTTTATTCAACCCTTTTATCCAAGCATTTCTACAAAATATTGTAGAATGTGTCGAGACTTGTCTATAACATGCCCCCTCCCCATTAGACCCCATTTAGAGATACAATTCACGTGTAGGTTAGCACTAGGAAAACTATGTGGCACTGACCAGATATGTATATACATGCATATGGAAGCTTTAGCTTTGATGGTTTTAAGCTGATTCCTCTTTTGCTCCTTTTTAGCTATCTGTTATAGATTATATACTTTACAATCTTGATGTATTTTCCTTTTTACTCATTCTATGTGTAATTGTACTTTAGATGTGCATGATGTCACTGTGTTGTTGTTGTTTACATGTGTTTATATTTATTCCAGTTGCTATCTAGAACTTTCACTCTATTATGAGTGCCATCTTTAGGGTAAAATCAGAGGTAAAGTGTGCCCCATGCCCAAGCCCCTCAAATGAGTTATGAAATATAAGAATATAGATCGCCCTGTTGTGAAATCTTATATAATTTATCATTAATTGTTTTTCATTAACTTACATTCATAATTTTTGTAAGCCTGGATTTTATTCAATTCTTCTTTGGCCCTTTTGGCGTGACATGTGAAGTCCATATATCTGAGGTCAGTCATTTTTCATTCATTTTGTTATTTTGTGTGTTTATGGATTTTGCAAACTGCTACAAATTAATTACACCAATTATAAATATTTTTCCCCTGTTCCATAAGGTCAGACTGTGTCTGTATATGTCTTTGCAAAACATTTTAGAACAGTTTGAACAATTAACAAATTTTCAGTCTGCAACATATTTATGACACTAATTAAAACAAATGTTTTTTATTAATTTTTAAGTTCCACTAGGTTAACTGTGTTTTTGTTTTTTTATGACACCAATAAATATCATTCTTTTTTATTTTACTGGGTCATACCTTGTCTTTTCCAAAAATTTCTGAAATATTTCTTGCTTATAGACCTCCAAATCGTAAATGAAAACCATATTACTGTGGTTGAAGCACACAGCAGCTTGTAATACAAACACATCATAATTCTTACCATAACAAATATCTTAACTATGATAGCTTTACATCTGCTCTCCATGCTGGTGGGGAGTTTATCTTATAATTTGACAGCAGTTCGTGTTATTCTATGATATATGTGGATATACAAGTCATTGATACCTCAACTTCAAGGTGGAGTAAGTGGGGAGCTTTCCTGGCAGTTAGAAACACAATAGGCAATAATTCAAAATCACAAAAATAGATCATTGATTTATCCAATAAAAGTTGCCATTCTATACTTGTATATTATGATTGAAACCCTAATAGCATCACGTTTGAAAACTTCAAAAACAGTCCATAAGTTATCTATTCAATGATGATCACACTGGCGGATCTGGGGGGGGGCGAAAAACTTTTTAAAAGGATCATTTAATAGGCCTTTTTGGGTAAAAATGGGCCTTTAAAGGCCTCATTTTTTATATTAGGCCAAATTATCAGGAATATGGGCATTAAATCTTCAAATTTTTTTTTCAGACTTCAAATATGCCCCCCCCCCTCTTGTTTGTTCCTGGATTCACCCCTGGATAATAGGGGCTTGATGAATTCTACCAAATTAATGTCTTTTAGGACATCAGCAGTTATAAAGAATAAGGGGCGATATCTGAAAACACAACTTTAAACAACATTTGAAGCTACTACTGTACATACCAATATTCACCCTCATTCCCTTTAATTCATGTTCAAGAAACTAGCTTTTGTCAGTTATAAAAAAAAACAGCATCAAATATTCAAAATATATAGTATAAAAATCTTTGAGAAAAAATAGTTGAAAGTTAATTCTTCACAAAAGTTTACCAAAGCTTGACAGATTAACAAAAACATGACATTTGGATAAATGATTCTAGTAAAAAACTGTAAATTGATTCAACATTTCAACTTGCTACTGGGTGTTAATAGAAATGAGGATTAATGACACAACACTGACATTACCAGGCAGTCTGTGATAAGTGAATCCTGATAAGTGAATCCGTCAGCTAAAATATCAATCTGATCCTGCTTGTTTTAATTGCTCAAAAATTTGAATTAGGTGTCTGATTTTTCCATTCCTGTATTATTTGAAATATACCCTTCATACCTTTAATCTCAATATCTTGCTGTTTTATTACTAATTCAAGATATAGTATATTTTATTTGACATGTGATCTCCATGGCATTTTCTCTACAAGAATATGTCCTTCCAAAATATTATGTTTTTGCATAAAATCAAAGTGGTAAATGAGTTTTGTTTGTTTACTTGTCAATAATTTTTAAATGCAAATGGATAATAAATAAAACACATGCATACTTTTTCATTACATGCATTTCACATTATATTGCAATTGTCCAAATGAAACTAAGCAGTTAGTCGAAGTTCCCAAGAACAATTAAATGGAATGTGCAACAAGCATGTCATGTCATGACCATCAGAAGTTACATGTGTTACTTATGGAAACTCATAAAAATTGCTCAAAATTAAATTAAACAGTGATAAATCAGTAAGAAATTCAATTAGCCAAAAGTGGTTATCTGTAGGGATGTAAGGCTGGGATCAGATTGACTTTGAAAAAACCTGGCGAATATTAATTTCATTTCCTACCCAGGCAGCCTGTAATTCTGGCACGTTTCCTGCTGTTCAAGTATGCCACATAGACATTGATATATTGCATTTAATCATTTTTTTCAAGACAAAAATCACCCAGGATTTGGTTCATTATCCCTAGACCTCTTAAAGCACACTGCTGATTTAAAGAGGTTGTTTCCTAAGTGGAAACTTCTGAATCTGATATTATGTGTACGTCCTGTTTTTAATGTATTTTTTATATGGGTTTTAATATTGCCTACATTTGTGCTATTTTTATTTATTTTTTTATTTTTGGCGGCATTCATGTACTGTGTTTGATATGGGGCAGCTAAATAGTAAGAAATATCCTTCCTTAATTTGTATTTTGTTTTACTATAGTATGCAACATTTTGAGGTTATTATGTATTATGTATGCTTTGTGCTTGTATGGTTTGCTTTGTTGATTGATGGTTCCACCTTCTTTCCAGTTGTGTTTCACTTTTCCAGTATATTGATAAACCTCTTACATGCCTTATGCAGAGCAATACTATTCATTAATACTGACATCTTTCCTATGTAATGCTTGTACTCCTGTTGTTATGGAGAATTGTGTAAATTATACAACAATATATCATATATATGATTTCTATATGTCATCATTTAGGTGACCTTGACCTATAAATATGACCTTGACCATTCGTGTTGTGTAGTGATTATATATATTTGCCTCCAGGAAGCCAGTTGAAATTGAGATGGTGTGTGATGTCCCTGTACGCAACTTGTCTGTAGCTTGAACCTTGATCCAGTACCCTCTATTTCTGCACTACTACTCACTTAACTCTCACTTTGCTAGATTGTGTGGTGAAGGTAACATGCATGCTTAACCCCTGTAGGCCTAGAGCATCAACTACATTGCATAAATATTTTATCCTCTTACCCAGGTGATTGCAGATGTAAGATAGTCTTGTACCAAGTCTTTGCACCTAATATATTGATCATTGTCAGCCTGTATTATTGAGAGAAAGGCTAAATATGGAGGTATGGTACAAGACTAACTGGAGCATAATCACTGGTCCATATCCATGGGGATATAATATCATGACAGCTAGAATCTTGTGAATATTTTTACAGATCCACTTTTTTGCATGTCAACTGGACCTTTTCATTTCATTTCGACCAGTCAGATCTTGTGACACTCACTGGATGTGATGGCTATTGAATGCAGTCTTATTAATGCAAACATTTTTTTTTAATATAGAATGCATTATACTGAAAAAGAAACACTGTATTCAGCACTTTCTTATTTGAGCACTTTCATACAGATATAAATATTTCCATACAGCACTTGATAAGATTTTTATAAGATTTTTAAATCTCACAATGATAAATTTCATTTGTATAAACATTTTTTTCACTTTTCTTATTCTTTTTAGAAAACACTAGAGGTGAGGGAGGCAATGTCATCCTGTAGGTAATTGTCGTACACTCAATGTATCAGTGTATGCAGTGATTTGTCCGACAATTACCCACATGGACGACATTGCCTCCCTGTCCTCTATCTGTATGAATGTCTAAGTTTTCAAAATTCAGAATATAACTTTGATTTTCTTGCAACATGAAGCATGCTCAGTATTCTTTTTGGTTTTGTCAGCATGTTTCATATCTCATTCCAAAATATTATTACAAAATATTTAAAAGACTTGTATAGCTTATTCATATAGAACACATGAAAGAAAATATATAACTGCTTTTGTTTTTGCTGACGTCCTTAGATCCTACTGTTAAAACACATATCTTGCCACTCAACTGAGTCATTCATTTCCAAAATGATTTTCATCATGCAATGTGCAGGTAGGCATTCAAAGTTATGTACTTGAGTATGTCAAAGGAAGTAGAGCTTATTCAGATGCACTGTGATAGTTATTACCCTCCTTATTAACATTGCAAGTAGAGCTTTTGATAAAAGCTACCCTCTATCTAACACGAAAGCTTTATATGTGGTACAGACACATCATGGTATAAATCTTATGGTATCACATATATAGGGATTTATAAGGTGCAGATGCATCATGGCATTGTATTACCTCTTTCAGTGATTTTTCAGTGACATTATGATAATTAATTCTATCGAAATAATTCCTATGTTCAATGTATTTCAGGCCCAAGAACCTAACATTGGAGAAGATTCCAGGGGTGTACTATATCAACCATGCTGCCCTTGGAGACATAAGTAATGGATCATCCCCTCAGGTACTTACTCAACCTCACTCAAATTGAATAAAAATGACACATCCTGTTAATTTCTTCGATTTCAAAATTTACATTGTATATTCTGGGTGTCTTTGTGTTTTAAAAATATTAGTTTAAGTTAATCATCTTGCTATCATCTAAGGGATATTTCACATGATCATGAAATAAACTATGATAATGTCATTGCAGGCTCCCGAGGAAGGATTTGATGGAATGGTTGTTTATGCTAATCCATTCATAACAAGCAATGGTAAATCTGGATTTACAGTAACACCACAAACAGCTGAGGATAAGAAAAATCCCATGTTCAAAGAAAACAATCCATCTCTCAATGGAAGTGTAGCCCATAATAACAGCAGTAAGAAATTTTCTTCAAATGGATTCACTCCACATCGAAAAATGAAAAACAAGAAATTACAAAGGCCCAAGAGTGCACTAGAAACACTGAATCCTGTTGAGATGGGATATTATGTCAGTGAAAACCCTAGTGCAATTGAGCGGGATAAACTGGGTAATGATTCCAATGATAACATATATTCCAACCAGGCTGCGGTGCTAGATATAACTCAGAATGCTCAGTTCTCAACAGTGGAACGTCAAAACCGACAAAACGTCCATACAGAACAAAACATTAAAACCATGGATGATCCAGATCAATGGGTGCCCACTAAGAAGAAAAAGAAGGAGAAAAAGAGTAAAAAGGAAAATCTTGATGACTTTTGTTATTCTAACGATTGGGCAATGGAGAATGAAATAAGTGAAGTGAGCAAGCCAGAGGCAGCAAACCAAACCTACATTTAGTTCAGACCTTCAAGCATAGTTATGTGATTGACTAAGTGTTGAGAGGGGACTTCATTTAATGTGCCTGGTCTGTGTTTTTATTGTTAAAACAAGAATATATGATCAAAAGTATTAAAATAAGAATATAGCTTGAATTAAATCCAGATTAATGACTCTGGGTTCAATTATATTATGGAACTACCACTTGAAACTAATATGCAGAATTATTCAGAATTCCTGACTGCCACAAACAGTTGATTGTTTTATATTATTGAAAGGATTACATTACAAATGTGCATATCTGTTTCTAGTTTTGCATCTACCATATGTACATTTGTATTGGAAAGGAAAGATATAATAGTGGAGCAGAAGCATCTGATGCAAGTCTACTGTTTTTAAAAGCCTTATATGTGTAAGATTAAGTCTTAATAAATTAAATGGATTTAATTTTTAGATCAAATTTATTTTAGAATATGCAGTGATTTATAGAGCACAATGTGACTCGTATTTATTTAATGCAATATATGCTGATGAGATTTTTATTGCATAATTTGTTTATCCAGGAATCATGCATTGTTTTATTTATGTAGTTTTCTGTTTGCAATACACTGTATATAATCCAAATGTAAAAAGAACATTGCTGGTAAAAAAAGTATTGAACATTAAAATGTACAGTATTCAGACCACAGTGTTCACACATACAGGTTTTACTGTATTGTAAGATATCACCCAATAGCTAAGCCCAAATATTATGGTAGCCAGTTTTTCAACATTATAGTATGTATTTACATGGATGTCAATATGTATCATTCTGATACTCATAGCATCTCTCTCTGTTGTATCCAGAAGGATAGAGATGGAGAGGGCGTGGATTACCACGATGATATGTATAATTATTAAGATAGTATGTCAGATATTTAGAAGGTGCTAGCTTTGGATTTTGTCTGCAGGGGCCTCATTTTGGAAAGAGATCTTCTGTAAAGCTAAGTTCACACCAACGGCGTTTTAATGCGACGTGCAAAGCAACCTTGCACGCCGCATTAAAGCGCCATCAAAGCGCCGTTGGTGTGAACTTAGCTTAAAGTGATTCAGACCCCTTTGATAAAAGAGATAAGGATAAACCAGAAAACCAGAAGGATTTGCCTTGGGTGTTTAAGGATCACTGTCATGATTGCCTCAATAAGCTGGGATGTTATAGAAATACTGTTTGGTCAAAGTTATAGTTAATACAGAAACATGGCAAATAATTAAAGAATTGCCTTAAACTGTAGTCCCTGGCCTTTTCAATGCATTGTTAATTCCTTAGAGATTTGACTTCCATGTCTGTCATAAAGGGACATCATATTTAATATAGAGGTAGAACTGGAATTTAGTCCATGTCATAATAGAGCTACTAGAGTAAGATAGCTTCTTGCACAAATGCTTATATTTTTCTATAAATTGTTAAGTAAATGAAATGAATATATTATGCAATGTAATTTATACAGACAGTTTGTAAATATTTGGAACATGTTCTGTATAAGAACTGACCAGGTGTACATTTTATATATTGATTTGTATATATTGAAGTGATTTTGTTAATTTTAGGCAATATCTATTGTTTTATGTTTTAAACAAAATTCTACTTATAAGCACTTTCATTTTGTAGATTGGCAAAGTTAAGAGACTTCACTTTTTAGGAATCGTTCGACAAAAGCATTAAGCTGTTCCAAAATGTTTGATTCCTAAAATGTTTAGTTGTTGGTCTAGGAGTTTACAAAATGGATTACTTGTAGAATTTAGTACAGAACTGTTGAGATGATCCATTTTATTTTGTAGAATATCAGTTAATAAACAATGGCATTCTCAAAACATAGAATACAAAATATCTCTGGCAAATGCTTTTATTTTGTTCACTTCAGCTGAAACAACTACAATTTTAAGAGGTTGATAGTTTATATTTTAATTTTACAGATCAGTATTTTGTTATAAACTGAAGTGAGATATGAAATTAAGTGAACATAATATGTACAATATGGAAGTATTTTGCGTATACACGTAACTAAGAGAAGTACTTATTATTGAATCAAACTTGCATTTGTTGTATTGGGTTAATTCTTGGGTGAACAAAGTTCATAATACTGTAAAATTAAATAGAATATGTAATTAAATTTTTCCTGATATGTTTCAAAAAACTTCATATAATTATCAGCCTAAATACCGTTAATAGCTGAGATTAAGGGTTTCGCATTTCTGCGCAATGCTGTTTGTAGTACAATGTAAGATGCCTTGAACTGTGATAAACATTACATAATATCTTAAGAGTCAGCATTTTACATTGTATTACAGACTGTACTGCTATATCGTCATGTAATGTGACCAAGATCAAAATTGGAAAAACACTATTAGGTTATCTTGTTTTATTGAAAATAAAGTTTATAATGTAATTACAAAAGATGATGTTTGTTGATTTTAACATGTCTTCACATGCTTCCTGTTCATATAGTCATGTTGTTATTATTATAATATAGTGTTCATAGATGACTTCTCAAAAATGTGTTGTAAACAAGAATGTTTGGTAAATAGTGTAAACATGGCATGCATCAGTCAAATATTTCCAATTCTATGAGTAAAATATAGGTCTGCTCCCTGCATATACTCTATAATAAAATATCCTCATTGCCAAACTGCCTATGGAAATGATTAGACCTATACCTCCTTTATCCATCTTTATCCAGTTGAGTGTTAATCCAATAGCTAGTTGCATGGTCATGTGGATCCATTACTACATTGACTTGAATTTATTATACTCTGTACTCTGTCTATTTTGACACCATGACAACCATGGAAAGTGATGATACCTTCTGGAATAACTGCCCAAGGATGAAAAATTTTAATCCAAAATACTTTTGTAAGCTATGTGGGTTCATTCCCTGAATCATCAAGTTCTTGTATAAAAAGTCTACATTTTGACATGAGGATTTGTATAGCTTCACTGACCAGCACATCAGGTGGTAAGGCCCCTGTGGATTCAACAGAAACTGAAAAATAATAAAAAGTCACAATAAATTTTAAATACCTCATGATAGCATGAACTCTACTCAAGGAAGTGTGGCTGCTGAATTTAAAAGAGCATTCTTTTTCCTTGAAAATTATTTGTTTGTTTGTTTTGAATCAAGATAAAACCAGAGTGGAATGGGGCAAGGAATAAAGTTGAAATCATGGTAGCCAGACTGCAAAGGTTGGCAATCAGTTTATCAATCAGCCCAATCAGCAATCAATTTTTTCAATTTCCAAGAGTAAAAAGTTATTGCCATTGGAACTAACACCTGGTCGTATCCTTTAAAATAGAGACAGTATACTCCACTTGAACAAGTACTTACATATAAAGTGATCTCTGAATCTTGACAATTTTACAAGATCTTTGAGGTCTTCATGTCTAAGAACTTCTCTACTACAGGTATCCAATCTGGTATTAGCAACTCTAGCTTGGGAGACACCTGGGAATAAAAGATAATATAAGAATTAAAATTAACAGCTTAAAGATTAGATTTGAAGCAAGAATTTCTTAAGTGAAGCAAAGATCTTTACAATTATGCAACCGCAGATGATTTCCCCATGATTATATCTTAAACATTACAATTTATGAGGTTGCATTAAGCATTTAGAATTATCACTTGTTTCTGAATCAACGGTACCTCTTGAAATTCCTACACTTATTTGAAAAAGATTTGAAAAAGAAACAACATCCAGTCTTGCATCAAGTCTCTAACCCCCTCCCCTACATCTGCCCCCACTTCCCAAAAGTGTAGGGAGTAGATAAGTGTTTAATGGGTGGTGGGGGTAAACAATGACTTGATAAAAGACTATTAGAATTCATCACACAGCATAAATAAGAATCTATCCCTACCATTGATATCATCTATCTCTATGACACCTTTGGGGAAGCAGCTCTGTAGCTTGGTGGCCAGTTTACCCTGAACAGGTCCCTTTAACTCTATATCAGGTAGTAATCTGTAGGATGCTGTGGCTGAAGTGATGAAATCAAATATCTTGAACACAAAATGGATGATATGGCACAGTTGGTTAGACACACAGTATTGAAATACAGTATTTATTCAAAGCTCATTGGATTTCCTGCCATAGGTGCTGTATACAGTACCACTTAGTTGATTGAACTATAAATATAGTTTTTGGCAGATTTAACACAGATTGTTGTTTTTATATGAGCAGAAAAGGCAAATACTGTAGATGGAAAGAATAGTACACTAAATGGCATTATACTTGCTGGTAAATCACCCACTTAAATAACAGAACCACCATTTAATGAAAATAATGTATTTTTCAACTCCAAAAATGTCAAACTTAAAGGCCTTACCAACGGGAGAGAACTTGGAATGGTCCTTGCCTATGCCTTTAACACAGTGTAATCGTAGGTCAAGCTCCTGGCCTGGCCGTAGCTTGGCTATCAGAATATCATCTAACACAGGCTTTATATCTCCTTCCTTGAACTGAAAAAACAAATGCAAGAAGGCAGGTTCAACATTTGGTTTAGATATAACTATATTGCCCAGACTTAACTGGAAAATAATGTGTGTTCAGACTTAGAAAAATATAAAGATAACAGTGAATGAATTCTACAGTCCTCCGCTCTACCAACTGAGCTATCACAGGATGCCTGGCAACCAATCACAAAGTATTTGAAATACACATTTATTAAACAAAGCATAAACTTCAAAACAGAATATAATAGGAAAAATGGCATAATGCACACACTTAAAAGTAATGAATAAGTAGTATATGTGGAATAAAAATAAGGATATCGAAATTATCAAATAAAGGAAAAGATTAAAAAGTTGGATCCTGCGAACCGGAGTCGAACCAGTGACCTAAGGATAACAGTGAATGAACTCTACAGTCCTCCGCTCTACCAACTGAGCTATCACAGGGTGCCTGGCAACCAATCACAAAGTATTTGAAATACACATTTATTAAACAAAGCATAAACTTCAAAACAGAATATAATAGGAAAAATGGCATAATGCACACACTTAAAAGTAATAAATAAGTAGTATATGTGGAATAAAAATAAGGATATCGAAATTATTAAATTAAGGAAAAGATTAAAAAGTTGGATCCTGCGAACCGGAGTCGAACCAGTGACCTAAGGATAACAGTGAATGAACTCTACAGTCCTCCGCTCTACCAACTGAGCTATCACAGGATGCCTGGCAACCAATCACAAAGTATTTGAAATATACATTTATTAAACAAAGCATAAACTTCAAAACAGAATATAATAGGAAAAATGGCATAATGCACACACTTAAAAGTAATGAATAAGTTGTACACTGTATATGTGGAATAAAAATAAGGATAACAAAATTATTAAATTAAGGAAAAGATTAAAAAGTTGGATCCTGCGAACCGGAGTCGAACCAGTGACCTAAGGATAACAGTGAATGAACTCTACAGTCCTCCGCTCTACCAACTGAGCTATCACAGGATGCCTGGCAAACAGTCAAAAATCAACAACCAAAAATGAAGACTCATTATGTATTTTGCCCCAAGGTTTGATTACAATTATTAATTAGAATGCAATACAGGTTGATCAATTGAATTAATAATATCTTAGACTGACATAAGAAGGAGTTCTAATATATAAGCTTTTTATTAAAGTAGTGTGTCATATTTCATTTCTTAAAATTATGTAGTTGAGGAATTGTCAATGATAAAGCCACAAGTCCTAATAAGGCTTACAACTGAGGAAAGAAATTGAAGAACCAACAGTGTGGTCTTTTAAAACCATCAAAAATGAGATTTTATCCACAAATAAAAATCCAGTACCGAGCGTACTGTACTTAAATCAATCTGGATAAATGCAAGATTTTTATAAACAGAAATCCCTTTAAGGCCTCATTCACATTTGCTCTATGGTTAGAATGAGGATCAGCAGCCACCTCAGGGTAACCCTAGGTATGTATCTTGAGACCAGGCTGTATTGAGTCACCATTGAAGTATAGATTTGAGCTATAACTTTTTCAATTCTAAGTTTACCTTATAGCAAGAGACATGTCATATCCATGCAGTAGAGTGGTTCAACAGTGAACATATAAGCTGTATGCAGGCCTTGCATTTATCTTGTGGCTGCCAGGCCCATAGCAAGGATTTGCCAAGAGGGGGTTCACTTTTTTAAAAATTCCAGGGGGGTTAACTTTTGACAACTTTGGCCCAAAAAGGGTCAAAATCACTTGAAAAGTGCTCAGAATGGCCAAAAACTGTATGATTTTGGCCAGGGTTTGCTCGAAGCCCCAACCTCCCCCCTAGCTATGGGCCTGGCTGCCATAGGGTCTTATGAATTACGATTGACTTTTAAAGTGCTCATGCACATTATCCTTGCATTAACCTTACCCTGCCTTGAAATTTGTCAAAAAACCCTAAGTTGAACCAATAATACCCTTAGACCATCACTTAAGGTTGTAGCAGATGCCAGTTTTTGTCTCCACAAATTCAAAAAATATGTGGTGTGGCTACACTAACATATGCGACTTTGGAAATACTGAGGCCCTATAATAAGTACCCTTGTATTCGTTCGAGAAAGGGTCAGTATGGTAGATTTGAAATTATTTATTACCTGGGCTGCCAGAGCCACCAATCTTCAGGGCGGGACTGCTAAAATGTAATATAGTCTATACTAGGCAGAGGTTAGTTTATAACTAGACTCGCAGGGTCTGCGCGCAGGGTATATAATTAGCTGTAGAAATTTAAAGCTAATAGCCGTTGCAGCAATTGTGACCAAGGCATAAAAATTACTTCCATATTAATATTCAGGTACAATAAACCTTCTTGACCAAGTATGATAGATGTTGAGATTTTCTTCAAAAATGAAAATTGCATCATTTGATGGGCTGCACTGTAGTTATCATACCGTAGTATGCAAAATTTACAGAGTGCCCAGAGAAACTGTAAAAGCGAGGAACGTGAAACTGACACTTCTTATGAATTGCAACATTCTGTACATGTTTATTATCTGATTTGGTCAGGTGACTATAGAATTGTAAATTGTAAAGAAATTTTATATTTTCACTACAAAAAAAGCTGATTTCTTCAAGACAAGGTAAAAGTAAGAGTTGAAAATCCACTACAGTATGTAAGTACAGTATTGACCTTCTTAGAATCAATTTGAGCATTAGTTCAGCTAATTTTCACTTGTTTGAACATTGTTGGCATATGGAAATTCAGATAGAATGACGGACAGACAGATAGATGAGTGGGTTATTCCATAGTCTCACCATGTGAACCAAAAATCCTCGTACTAAAACACTTTGATTATTCCTCACACCTACCATTTCAGTCTGTTGACCTATGGGTATCCATTTCATGTGGCTTGTATAGACTTTGTGGTCCTTATAAAGCTCATCAGGGTCTGTTGAATCTTTGGAGGCTGACAGGTTCCAGGTACATTTCACCTTTAGTTGAAACTCTATGGTGTCATCTGCTGAACCATCTGTGTCTCCTGTAATCCAAGAAAACATGCTTTGCAGGGTGTACAGTAAGTTTTTGCACTATTGCTTTTTTACTCTGCTTCTTGAATAAATCATAAACGTTTTGAAATGTAGATAGTATACATTTTATATTTATCTTTATTTTTGCTACAGTTTCTCGAAAGAATTTTTAAACCATGCGAAACACGAAACCTTGCAATTGCTCTGTATTTCTTGTTATCAAGTTTGCATATATTTCTAAATCAAAATCAGTTTTAAATAATTTGTAATTGCGCCGTATAGGAAAGTTTAAATTAATATCTTCTTTCCAAGCATTGACATAGTTACTTTTTATATAGTTATAGTTACAAGTTATAGACTTACCCTGATTTCCCTAGCCTTGCCCAAGTCGGTCTCTTTTACTATCTGATTTCTATTATGACCGCCTTGTACCAAAGAGAAAGCCACGTGCTTTACCGACTCAATGTTTATGTCGGTAAAATTTGACCAATCAACGACGGCCCTGCAGCGTTAGCTCATTATTATGCACGGTCAAAAACAAGTACACTTTTCGTCGGGACTTTTCACGAACAAATCTTGCATGAATTCATCATGAAAATACAAATATTTTATCAGATAAATGTCAATCAGAGTTAAGTGGATGCCAGACATCGATCGGTAACCGGAGGTTAGAAGATTTCAACAATAAACGTTGAAACGATCGCTGAATTCAAATGAACATGTAGGCTGAGATTCAATCACTGATCGACGACTACATGACCCGCTACATTGGACTAGGTCTTGCATTTTCATCTCGAGATCAGTTTTAAATCTATTGCATGATTTAATTTATATTAATGATTCATACATTCCCTGTGTACATTTAATTACATAATATATTGTAACTCTAAAGAAACGATCGATCAGATCATTGAATTTCAAGTCGTAGACGGGAAGATTGTTTTGCTGTGCAGCTCAACCTGATAACGTTGTGATTGGTCAATTAGCCTGAAGTCACACGTCGTGTCCACGCGTATATCTGTTAATCAATAAGGTTTCGCGATACCCATGATAGCGTAGGTATTATGGAAATCTCGAAACCGTTGAATATCTCAGCATAATAGCAGCGGAGACGTATTGGATTGTACAAGGCGGTAATAATTCAAGATCAGATAAGTAAAAAATACCGACATGGGCAAGGCTATGATTTCCCCAAAATTGAAGCAACTAGGTGCCGCACTAAACTCAAAAATTAACATGTACTGATTTGGGTATATAAAAGTTTTAAACATTTTTTCATCTGAATTAGAATCTTGCACTCAAATGGTGAAAATCCTCGAAAAAAATCATTTTTTATAAAATAGCTTACCTTCTGCCCTGTATTCAAACAGTCTTGGGTCTGCAAAGATAGGGATGAGCCCAAGTCTGTGTGCAAGCACCTCATCTTGTATGATAGATGTGTTATTGTACACAGATACCTTCTCAATCGCCATTGTTGGCACCTGCTCGATTAAAATGGTAAGAAAATGATGTGTATCAGAATGTCAGCACCTCATCTTATATGATAGATGTGTTATTGTACACAGATACCTTCTCAATCGCCATTGTTGGCACCTGCTCAATTAAAATGGTAAGAAAATGATGTGTATCAGAATGTCAGTAACTCATGTTTTGTAAATCATGTTTTGAAAAGCAAAATGGTAGGAATTCAAATACTCAGTTGCGAGAAGGTAGTTACCAGTTTCGCCACCAGGTGGCTGATTCGGGGGAATTAACATGGCAGGGTATTACAATATTCCCTTAAACTTGAATATTCATCAGTTTTAGTGGTTCACTTTTCATATTAACCTAAATGTATGTGATTGTTATACAAATTAAAATATGTCCAGTAAAAGGAAATATTATCTGCCCAATTCAAGAAAAGATATTTTTGTGGTTTTACAACATGGGGTCTATGGGTAATCTCCTCAACCTAGAAGTTGCATTTTCAAAGAAAATTAAATTTTCAAAGTTGATAAACTCTTTTCAAAACCACATTTCTAGATGTAATGTTACATGTAGATTCCAAATATGACATCAGTTTGATTGAATTGTGAATTTTTAATGAAGTAAATCAAGATTATTCTACTCATATCTAGGATATTCTTCCTTATATTTAGATAACTTAGAAACTTATTTTGCAATATTAGCCAATTTCTTCAGTGAATCTTCGGATTTTATGCCCTAAACTCATAATGAGCCATGGGAAAATCACAGTTAAGATTAAGAATTCGAACTATCATAGACTTATAGGCCAGGGATATGTTTTGAAGTCTGATCAATATTTTAGTGATACTACACAAACAAAATGTCCTAACCTCTGAGAGTAGAATTCTTCTGAATGCATTAGCAATAGCAGCGTCTACTCCTATCATGTCAAACTCCATCTGCTCATCAGTCATTCTTATGATCTCAATACGCAGGTCCTAGAACAACATAGCAAATGGTTCTCACTTAAAAAGACAAATTAATACTAGTATATTACACAATGACTCATAAAATATCAAGAAATTTAAATAAATATTACATATATTAAACTAAATATAGAATAATGCTTATAATTCAAAATATAACAACAGTTTCACCAATTTGATAATTGATTGTGTCTATTTTGCAAAATCTCTCCTGACTTGATCTTCTGGTTGAAATATAATTATATACAGTAAGAATGTGTCTATTGAAGGTAGTTCACTAGAGAGGTGGTCTTATACAGACATAAGTGGTGAATGTGCTGTGAAGGGGTGTTCACTAGACACAAGTGTTCACTAAAGAGAGGTGTTTACTAATACAGGTTTAACTGGCATATGTTTGTGTTAAGAGATTTAAAAATTATTAAATGCACAAAATATGACCTTTAATTTTGGTTGGTCAAATGAACTATAGTTTTTCGTTTTGTTTTTCAAATGTTTTCCCTTGTGCTTTCTTTTGAAACCTGCTTACCTCCTTGAACTTTTTGAAACTCCAACTGTCATCATATCCGACATAAGAGCCAGGATAGCTGGTGCTGTGACTCTATAATCAGAAATTAATGTAATGTTCCTTTCCTATAGTCTTTCTATCTCGATTCTCCCTCCTGGTTCAATTTATGAATCAAAGTGAAAATGAGTCACTTTTGAACTCTTTTATGATACTCTATTTAGAAGGTCAATATTATGAATACTGAGATGAAAATAAATCAAAAATGAACTTATATATTTTTCATCAAGCCCATAATTACAGACATGATTACACCCTTCAAAAAGAGTTTATCATTCCCTGCTTTTTGATGGGAATGTTGTTGCAAGCTTGGACAAAGAAACCGGACATATTCATGCAAATGTACATTGTATACCATGAACAGTGTAAGGTACATGTATGCATTTCAAAATCCCCATCAAGCTTTGTTATTGGTATATTTGAATGAACTTCCAAGCATTGCCAAAGTGACTGTGATGTGGGTTAGGAAATATTTTGGAGTGACTATATCATATGTTATCAAGGCTCGAAAGCCCATGGTTTGATAAGCCAATAAAAGAGAACTGCAAATTTCAGTCTCATCTAAAAATAGAAGATTATGTCAGGTGAATTTCTTATTTCAGAAAGTTGAACGATGCAGTCAATTCAAGTTTCAGCTTGTATTATTTTTCTTTATTTTTCTTCTAAATTAAAGAACAGATTCCGAAGTATTCTCATAAAAATGGGTATGGTTCAAAATGTGTTATCATGACTCTGATGTTTGAACAGGTCTAGCATCAAATTCTGCTGTCTGATCTTAATGGCATAATTGACAAAATTTCACTGTTCAACTTCGGGTCAATACAACCCACGTGGGATTTGTTTTGGTCATGGTATAGGAAATGTAGTAATTAAAACACTAGTTTGCTACTTTGTAGATGTATGGCACGTATATGTGTACATGTATTGACAATTAATGTTTGGTAATAGCTAGTAGGAGTGTCAGGGACCGCTGACAGATTATAATTTTGAACCAAAAAATTGAATTATATTTTTGGCGGTTTCAGTAAATCAATGGGGTAATCAGGTCCTACGTGCTTTTTACAGGCCCAGAAATCAATGCTCGCTTATAAATGTAGCAAAATCTTTTTTCGTTCGTGGGATATTTTTTTCACCATATAACCGAACGGGAAGTTTTTGAATAGGACTACATGATCTGAATGGATGCGAGATGGGCTGGGATTTGAGAAATTATGATTTGACCTTTGCCAATTTTACATCATCATCATCATCATCATCATCAGTATTAAGACTAGTTGGTTACTCCAGTTATTAGTCTCATCTGTTCAAACATAGTTTAGATCTGAGCTTTAGTACAAACTTTAAGGACAAAAAGGGGGGAAACCTATAGCCGGTAGTGTTGATACACCCAGTGTCTGTCCAGAGCTGTCTTGAAGACATCCAGATTTTCTGCCTGTGCCACCTCTGTAGGGAGACTGTTCCAATCATTAATGATGCGTTGACTGAATGTGTTTTTCCTTACATCTAGTCTGGACCTTTGCTTATAAAGTTTGTCCCTGTGCCCTCTGGTTGCACTGTCATGTTTGGTGAAGAATAATCCACTGTCAAGATTTTCTAAATTGTTCAGTATTTTATACACCTGGATCATATCTCCGCGTTTCCTTCTATATGCCAGGGAATAGAGTTTGAGACTACTTAGCCTTTCTTCATATGGTAGATCTTGTAAACCATTGATTAACTTGGTCGCTCTACGTTGAACTTTCTCTAGTTTGCTTATATCTGCTTGATACCTTGGACACCAGATTACATTATTATATTCCAGGTGAGGTCTGACTAGAGTTTTATACAATGGTATCAGTGTATCCTTATCTCTATATGTCAAGGTGTATCTTATGGCCCCAAGTATACTATTGGCTTTACTTGTGCATTTATCCACTTGTTTATGAAACTTAAGTTCATTATCAATTGTAACTCCCAAATCATTTTCTTCTGTTACTGTCGTTAGTTTCTCGCCTTCCATTGTATAGTCATGTTTTGGATTGTTGGAGCCAAGATGCATCACTTTGCATTTTTCTTTATTAAATTTCAGTAGCCATTTGTTACTCCATTCTACTAGATTGTTTATGTCTCCTTGCAGCCCTTGTATTTTCTCTGCACTGCTGACTGGAGCATATAGTTTGGTGTCATCTGCAAACATTTTAGCTATGGTTGTTACTACATCAGGGAGGTCGTTGGCGTATATCAGAAAGCAGATCGGCCCTAACACACTTCCCTGAGCTACTCCACTGGTTACGGTCCTCCATTCGGATAGTTCTCCATTTATTCTAACCCTTTGCTTCCTGTTAGTGATGAAGTTTTCCATAAGTTTAAGTAGATTCCCTTGGATTCCATAGGAGTTGATCTTTTCCATTAATCTCTTGTGTGGCACTGAATCAAAACATTTCGAAAAATCAAAATATATTACGTCTAGTGGCTCCCCGTCATCTATTAGTTTTGTCCACTGTTCCATGACCGTCAGGAGTTGAGTGCAGCATGATCTCCCAGGTGTAAACCCGTGCTGTTGGTCAGTTAGTAGATCGTTTTCCATTAGGTGTTTAAGAAGAGTGTCCCTTATAATTGACTCCATAAGCTTGCAGGTAATACAAGTTAGGCTGACTGGTCGGTAGTTACCTGGTAATGTTTTCTTTCCCTTCTTGTGGATTGGAATTACATTTGCTTGCTTCCATTCATCCGGGAGTTCTCCAGTTTCCAGACATTTTGTGAATAATAAGGTCAGTGGTGGTGCCAATTCCTTCGAGGCTTCCTTTAGGATTTTGGGATGTATATCATCTGGGCCTGGGGATTTGTTCACTCTTAGTTTGTTTAGTTGTAGTAGTACTTTTTCCTGTGTAAATTCTACATTATCTAGGGTTATCGTTGTCCTGGGTATAACTCTGGGTATATCTCCATCCTCTACAGTGAAGATTGAGGAAAAGTATTCATTGAATATGTTTGCCTTCTTCCAGTCATCATCAGTTAGTGTTCCGTCTGTTGACTCCATGGATCCTATTTTAGGTCTTGTCTTTAGTTTGGAGTTGACATATGCCCAGAAAGCTTTAGGGTTTTGCTTGGCTTCTTTGGCTAGTTCTCTTTCAAAGGTCCTGCATAGTTCTCTACAGAGTTTTCTTGTTTTGTTACTTTCCCTTTTAGCTTTCACGTAATCTTCATACTTTTTTGTTTCCCTGTACCTCTTCCATACTTTGTATTTCCTCCTAATTTGCTTTAAACCTTGCCGAGTCATCCATTTTTTCTTAGATTTGTTCCTTGGTTTAAGGGGAATATGCTTCGATACTACTTTTTCAATGTTGCTTTTTATGATTGCCCACATTTCTCCTGTACTTTTAACATTCAATATCTGAGTCCAGTTTATTTCTCCTAGTTCACGTTTAATAACTTTGTAATCTCCCTTGTTATAATTCCTGGATTTTTGGGTAGTATCCTTCGGACTTCTGTCAATAATCGTGACTACGTATCTTAGTGTTAAATGATCACGGAGACCGAAAGGGGTTAGATACTCTATGTCGCCAATTGAGTTTTCTTCGCGGGATAAAACTAGGTCAAGGATATTTTCTTTTTGGCCTTCTCTTTTCCTTGTAGGCTCGAGTACATGCTGATAAAGAAAATTGTCTTGTATGGTACTTAGGAATCTAGAACTCATGTACATGTATTCCAATGGGTGAAAAAGTAAGTTGCTTTCTACCTTCCAAAGAAGAAAAATACAATGTATTTAGGTTACCATATTCTATGGCCACTAACATGGTTCGAAGTGAGTAGATCTAATAGCAGACGCTTTTTCTCACATGTTTTTGTTGATAGATTTGGCATGGTATTTACTCTCCGAATAACTCAGCATTGGTGGAGCGAAGTTTTAAAAAAATAGGCGTAACTGATCTTCATGTAGCATATCATAGAAAAACGGTAGTTAGACAATATACTACTTACGTTAACAACAGCATGTTCTTCTAGAATAATTTTTGAGCGAATTTCTTCTACATTGGAATCCATCTTGAAATGGTGCACTGTGGGATAGAAAGTACTCGCCTACGCATGCGTATTGATCATATGAGGTGTGTTCCGCCATTTTTCTCAAAATACAAAAATGGTAAGTTATTTCCGTTTATCTGCAACAATACCCTGATATACATATAATAAACCTGTTTATTGTATGCTATGTTATCTTTTTAGATATATCTCGAATAATGATTACTTTTAGATTCTTGAATCTAAGGTAAATACGCCTCAGAAAATCAACGTCAATTTTTTCTCTCAGAATTTTTTCATTGATTTTTATTGCGGGGCGGGCTTATTTGACAGACACAACCAATTTCAATATTCCTCATGTATTACTTGCCAGTATGATTATCATTACGTCTAATTAAGTCCAAGTCTGTCTGATTTTGTCACAACATTTTGATATGAATTTTTTAACCCTTTCTAAATTTTTGAGCAGTTTACAATTTTAGCACTCTCTCTGTACACTCTTTACACTGTACCGTATACAAACTGTGCTATACAATAACAATCGGTGCAGATATAATGTGTGCAAGGTGCGGATCAGTCATTTTTGAATTTGATTTAGTCATATTTCACCAACTAAGTCATGTTGGGTGCTCAATTATATTCATGCATTTGTCACGCCTAACCATCGACAAGGTACAGTGACAAGATATACCGTAGTACACTTTAGATGTACGATGTGACTATTTAACTGATTTGAAGCAAAGAAAATAATGCAGGTGTGAGAGAGTATTATTGCTTGATGTGTCACTATAGAATGCACTACACACCTATTTACACAATTTCCTTTTTATTAGGGAACCTGTACATATCACGCCTAACCATCGACAAGGTACAGTGACAAAATATACCGGAGTACACTTGAGATGTACGATGTCACTATTTAACTGATTTGAAGCAAAGACAATGATGTAGGTTTAAAAAAAATAATCTGAGGAATGCATTAAGGATTTCATGTTTGATTTTTGTGTATTCATTTAGGAAGACATCTAACTTTCTAATAAAGTTAAAAGATTTTCGAACAGCACTCGATTTCTTTCGTAGTCAATCTACCCATGAAAATTGATCAGTGGGAAAATGTTTGGTTTTCACATTTCCTTTGATCATTTTTTCCCCTGTTGCCTAAGGGTGTCGATTATTTTTATGAGAATATGTTTCCCTATACTACAAAATTTAGGACTGGTGGAGATTAATAAATATTCAAGTATTTATTGTTATTTGAAAAAATCAGAAATGTGCATTGTCAACTTGAATGTAATGTATGTTGTCCCTGTAATTGAAATTCATGAGATATACATAATATTAAACAATGTTTACAATGATTTCATTTCAAAATTCGTTAAGGTTTTTATGAGTAACAAGTGATCTTTAACATGTTTAACGAACATGTTCAAGTATCCTTTTTGCCTTTTCATTTTATGAAAGTATTGTTGTGGTGGTGGTTAATTTGTGCCCATTTGGTGTTAGCTTCCAGCCCAAACTACCATCCAGTGTCTCGGAATAGAATATGTTGAAGACTAGCACTGCCACGGAGTCTCTTTCCAGCCTGTTTGATTATTTGGCGTCTGTAGCTTACGTTTTGTAAGTTACATTCAATTTGAAAGATAGATCTACTGATCTATACTAGCTTATTGAATATGAATTTTTAAAATCCCGTTTATGATATATCTAGAAAGTTTCAATAGTTCAATCAAATTGAAGTAATTCTGTAATTGTTCTGTTTCAATTTTAAATGCATCTGACCCCCTGTCTGTTAGTGTTATGAAAATACGTTGTCTGCTTTAGGGTTCACTGTGAATTGAGTAAGTTCAATGGGACAACGTTCATTCGAGTTGACAACATACACTTATATTTTTTTTTAAAAATGTTCATAAAAATCTTCAACACTCTTAGATGACAGGGGAGGAAATGATCAAAGGAAATGTGTAAAAACACAACATTTTCCAACCGACCAATTATATGGTAGATTGACTACGAAAAAAATCGAGCACTGTTTCAAAATCTTTTAACGTTTTTAGAAAGTTAAATGTCTTCCTAAATGAATACACAAAAAGTCAAACATGAAATCCTTAATGCATTCCACAGATTATTTTTTTTAAAACCTACATCATTGTCTTTGCTTCAAATCAGTTAAATAGTGACATCGTATATCTCAAGTGTACTCCGGTATATTTTGTCACTGTACCTTGTCGATGGTTAGGCGTGATATGTACAGGTTCCCTAATAAAAAGGAAATTGTGTAAATAGGTGTGTAGTGCATTCTATAGTGACACATCAAGCAATAATACTCTCTCTAAAGCAAATGATTTGAGATTGCAGCTATTTCACAGTGTAAATAGTAATCAATCAATATTGGTGATCGAGATGACCTATCTATACAAATTATATTTGCATTTTGTGTGATTTTATACAATATGGAAAGATTAAACAAAAATGTGCTACCTCTAAACAAGCTGTGCGGATATCCAAAAAGTGACGATATGTAAACCCCTTGTTTAGAGGTAGAACATATCCGATAAATGTTTTAAATTTTTAAATTTTTAAAGAATGCAAAAATAAGTTATGGTATATCGATTGGTCATCTCTATCACCAATACTGAATGAAGGCTGTTTACTGTGTAATTAATCAGTAGTTTCAAATTCTTTACTCTGGAGCAAGGATGAATGCTTTGAAGTGCCTCATTAAAGAATGAAGAATTCAACTCTAGACAAAATTTCCCTATGACTATAATTGAGCACCTAACATGCCTTAGTTTATGAAATATCACAAATTCAAATTCAAAAATGACTGTTAATATTTGCACCTTGTGCACATAATATCCGCACTGCTTGTTTTCATATAGCACAGTCTGTATAGGGTGTTATATATTTGCTATTCTTCAGAATGCATGCAACCCCGAGGGGGTTCACTGTATATAAATTTGGGCGGGGGTCCTAGGCTGAACCCTCAGACATCAATATGCCCCATACCAAACTGTCCAATTTCAATGTGTTCCCATACTAGCCAAAATAACACCCAAAAGCCATGCCAAATGCCCAAATATAGGACCAATGCCATACCAATGTCCAGAAATAAGACCTATGCCATTCCAAATGTCTAAATATAGGACCAATGCCATACCAAATGTCCAAAGTAGAAAAAAGCTAATCTTCAAATTGAAGAAGGCCCTGAGAAGGCAGATACATGAGGAAAACGATCCAAAACAACCTCAAATTAAGGATATAATATGTAACTACAAGACCAATTCCATACCACAAGTGTGGAAACATATTTTCCATGAGCATTCTCATTCCAGAACGCGGAAAAATCTGACCATTGCCAGACAGTCATATATTTGGGGGGCATTCTCATACCAAATCCTAAAATCTGGATCTATTGCCATACCAAATGTCAAAAAAGTTACCCCATGTGTGCGCTGAGGCTCCCCGTCAAGGTCCACATACAGTGAACCCCCCAGGATGCAACCCATAGTAAGACTGAATATTGAATAATGCTTATATTTTCAGATACGGTTTATACTGATTCAGAACAGGGCTGGCAAAACAAGATTGGCCAAATGGTACATGCATTTTGACGATGATGAAAAACAAAAGCTGATTGAAGAAGTCCATGCTGTTGTCACAGTTAGAGATGCCAAACACACAAACTTTGTTGAAGTGAGTCAGTAATTCAAAAAAGTGATATGCCTCCATCAACGTTCTGAAGTTTTGTTGTATGACACGTTTCTGTCATAAAGTTGCAAAGTTATGATAAGGGGTATGGCAATTATCAAAAATGTCACCAGAGTAATATATCTTTTAGGAAAGCTCTAAAATGCTCTAAAGTTTTTTGATATGCTATTTATTTATATATGCTAGGTTTTATATACAGGGTGGTACATGTTAGAACCTTTTATGACACAACAGTCATTGCATATTTGTGACTTCCAAGATTGATTTTGATTAACTCTGTTTATAAAAATACTTTTATTTCAGTTCCGTAATTTCAAGATTGTGTACAGAAGGTATGCAGGGCTCTATTTCTGTATCTGCGTAGATATAAATGACAACAACCTCGCTTACCTAGAAGCTATACACAACTTTGTAGAGGTCCTGAATGAATATTTCCATAACGTCTGTGAATTAGATCTTGTCTTCAACTTTTACAAGGTATGTATTATCATGTTCTTTACTAGTATATAATAGCAGTTATAAAATCTTACTGAGTGTGTTTGCAACAATTTCACAAATAGGGACTCTGAGCAAAAGTGTATAGTGCAAAGGGGTTTTCTAGTTATGAAATCTCTAGCTTCACATGGTGCCTATTTTGCTTTAACTTACCACTGACTATTCATCATGGGCACTACTGGTAATACTCGAAATCGTGAGCAATAAAAAGAAAAGACTGTTTTGAAGGTATTGCTGGTGTTTCAAAGAAAAGTAACGTATGGTCCATTTTTCCAGAAGATCCTAAAAACCATAACTATGCTTGCAATTTTAGTGGGAACTTGCTCGCGATTTTGAGGATTACTGTTGGGCCTGGATAGTGCCCATGTAATGAATCTGCATCAAACTGTTGAATTGATAAGTTCTAGTAATGAAGTTTGTGTGAGACCACCCAACACAAGGCGGATCAGGAATTTGACCCTCAATTTGGTCCTAGGGGGATTTCGAGAGTTATTTGTCTCAGAAGTAGAAACTTTTGAAATGCATATTCCCATGAATTAGAATTTCGATTATATAATTTGCTAGCTATAATTGCCTCCGACTGGGGGAATTAATGCACAAGCCTTCAGTGCTCAAAGGAAGAGAATTTGACAACCAGTTTTTATTTTGCGAAAATCCTCACCCCTTCCCTCCTTTGGTCCTCATGCAAACATACATAAGTGTGCAATATTGAGTTTTTGAGAATTCAACCGTTTGTACGCCTATATTTTTCAGGTATACAGTGTAGTTGATGAAATGTTCCTAGCTGGTGAGATACGAGAGACTAGTCAAACAAAAGTATTAAAACAGCTACTCATGCTAGGATCTTTGGAATAAAAAAGTAACCCTTCATAGGATCTACAAATTTGCTGACTCTAGCAGTTTCATTCCAGTTGCATTGTAAATAGAGTAGAACTCCATGATGCCAAGTTTATATTAAAACCAGGCATGGAATACAGCCTCCACAATACCCTTGTACTGTAAATACACCAAGAACTGCACTATACAGACACAAAATGGCTGTGTATTATTAATGCCATTTTTGTTGTTGTTTGTTAGATTTTTCAAGGTCAGTATGATCTTGAAATTTTCTACAACCATGGCAAATAAAGGAATACTCTTTGAAAGTCATGTCATTGGATATTACAAAATATTAGATATGCTGTGACTGTGACGTGGAAAAGTTCAAATGAAAGAAGAATACATGTATAATGATTATAGCTGGCTGTGTATGTTGACCAGCTGATTTCCTTAAGAGATTTGGTGTTGAGAGGGGATATATGCAATAAAACAACTGGATAGAAATAGAGTATTTGACTAGAACTTTAAGATATTAAGAATTGATATAAACAATGTTGTTAAAATAATCTTAGACTTCCATTCATTGAAGTGGTGTGTAGAAATGCACGTACATAGAGTCTACATTCAACCTTGTCTAGAAGTTATTTTGTACTTTTTTTTACTTTCCGAATGCCATCATAAACCCTAATTTTTACAGTATGTGTTTTAGAACAATATATAGAACACCAGCTTTGCTTAAAAAAACAACTTCAAAAGTTAATTTTAACCCATACGAATCAAAGAAATGGCACATTGTTATTATATGGAAAAGTAGATTATGTACTAGACTATTAGATGTATTAGGGAAAAGTGCTACTGAAGTAAATGTTGTTATCATGTGTATTCTCAGCTGCAAATGTATGAATGTTTAAGTTTCACCAAAATGAGCATTATACTTTGTTATGTTGCATTCTGAACCAATACCATTTCAAAACAGCTTATATTATGTAAAGTAATAGATTATGTAAATACCGATTTACATACATAAAAAGTGAAGTAATATATGATATACTAGTAATATAATGAATATATAAACTAAATATTTCAATGTTATTCTGTTTGATAATTTTGCATTCTCCAGTCAAGGTAAAAAAATATCTGAATAAGGTACTGTTAAGGTAAAACTGCACCTTCTACCATTTTATGACCATGTCTTTTTTCATATAATTAGAAAATTGAGCGGTCTTCTTTTCGAAATTGCAAAAGTTTCACATCATGCAGATCTATCTTAAATGGCTTATTTGGGTGTTCATGGATGAATTTAGCACCCTGTAATATTTGGTGTATTTGGCCAAGAAGTTAATTTGTTCTTTTATGTTTCACAATTATAAGGGTAAATCACTAATCCTAACATCAACAAGATCGTCCATCTATTCTATTTGTTTGCCAATGGAGTTGAGTTAGATTAATCCATGTGGGAATATTCAATATATCAAGAAATAAGTGACTTTAGTCCATTTTCCAATTGAAAATTCCTGTTAGTGGCCCCACCAGTGGCTGCCATCTATTTCTCCATCCATATAGCAAATTGTCAATTGGCCAAAGAATTGACTGTCAGAAATAAATTCCAAAAGTTTACAGTATTAAGAAGCTGAATGTAGAAAATTAATTGAGCACTTTGCCAACTATTATAGCAGCCAAATGTGAAAAATAAAAAAATCCATATTAGATAACATGAATTAACTGAAGCTCAGGTAGCATTGGCGAAGTCAACTGTTGGTTGACTGATTGCTGTTTATGGCCAACTCATTTCAAATATGAATACCTTGTACTAAGCATATTTATAAGTGGGTCATACAACTTCTGACAAACCATCAGCCGACAGTCTTGTGAATGCTACTTAAAGTTACTGTACCAATTTTGATAAAGATGGCAGTAATGGTTTGTTTACTACTGCCATCTTTCTCCTAACCTAGTGATTATATCAACAGTTCAAGGGAGAAATCATGAAAATATTGAACCTGATGTAGAAGTAGACAGACAAAGAATACCACACATGTCCTCTTGAGACTCTAAGCTATAGTATGTGGAGGTGATTAAAATAATCGAGGCAAATGTAAATAGGGGGAATATTGTCATGAGGAGTAAGTCTACATGTTCTATGTGTTTACTTTACCCCCTCATGAGGATAATTATGGGCTATGAATATGCATGCTTATCCCCTTCCTCGCATACATTTGAATGATATTCCAGTCGTAAAAAAGCTGATTTTACATGCTCTACCAGTGACAGATCTGGAAACGGACAGGGGCACATTTCAAGTACGAAAAGATATTTTTTGAGTCAAATCTTTTCTAGGGCTCCTCTAAGAGAGCCTTAGAGGGGGGGGGGGGGCAGATCCGCTAGTGTCGTTTTGAACATGAGACATGAAGATCGTGGCATATGAATTCCGTGATTCTCGGTAGGCCGTCATAAATTTGTACCCAAAATGGCGGCGAATTTTGAAAAAATTTGAAATTCCTTTTTATTTTCATAAATACTCTATTTTCTTTGTCATAACTACTACTTTAAAGTGAAAATGGTGATAAAGTAAATTCAGAGGTAAGATTGCATTGATTGTTTGGTCAGAACGTTAGAATATTGTCGAAAATGTCAAAAAGTAAATAAAAAATTTATCAACTTTCAAATTCCGATGATGATAGGCCTAGATCTACTTGATAAAGTGATAGGTATCTAGTCTAGAGGCAGCCCTACATAATGTATGAAAGTAGCATATTTATTCATTTGATACTGCACTATGGTTTTTGGATTGCTTAATTTTCATTTCTGATATAGCCTCACCTACAGTTTGTGCAATAAATAGACTAGTCTAAATGAGTAGGACAAAGCTTTAGCATGTATCCAACTGACTGGATACTGTACTCAGTCTGTTATCATCATGTTTTGCCATGTGGTAAATGCAGTGAAGTTTCAAAATAATATTTTCCAACCATTTCTCAGTCATCCAGCGATTTTCTTCCGGCATCCATTTTCATTTGATATTGTATTGACCCAAGGGCGCCTAAGGGGAATGACTAACTAACGAGCATAGTGTAACAAGCCAGATAAAGATATTGAAAGTGTGCTAAATTTGATGCCCCATGTGGGAATCGATGCTCTACCGACTGAGCTATAAAGGCTTAAGCCTGTAGTAGCTGTAGTAGCAACTTGCTATCAAGGGTCGTTACCCTATCCCCCCCCCCTTTGAAAGGACCACGCCCTTTTGGTCAGCCCTGCTTTCCCTAGCAGTGACTTACCGCACACATGGGCACAAAGGATACAACCAATGCTTTGTAGAAAGTGTTTAGAAAGTTTAATTCTCGATTTTGAACACAGGCCTGTAGCCAGGGGGGCTTCGATGGGTTCAAGCGAATCCCCCCTGGCCAAAAAATCTTTCAAAATCATGCGGTTTTTCACCATTCTGAGCACTTTTTAAGTGATTTTGGCCATTTTTGGACCAAAATTGTCACAAGTGAACCCCCTTGGAATAGGTTTGAATTTGGATGACATCTGTAGTTAACTTAGAGTCTACATTTATGGGCCATAGGCTGTCTAGAGATCCTATGCTGTCATAAAATGTTATAACACAAATGTTAGAGCTGTATAGTTATTCATCCCTGAATCTTGTGATCCAGAATTTTGTTGAAAATCATCATACAACTCATGATAATTACTGTTTTTCCAGGCGGGAAATGATAATATATTGATGACTGCATTTTGAAAAAATAAACTTCACCATGACTGGACGTTCATATCCCAACGATTTGATAGCTGTTACATCTGATGCAGTCAGCAGATTACTCCATTCAGATTCCACGTCTTCTAGAAACAACGATACAAAGAAAATGGAGATATACGGTGAAAAAAATGATGCAGAGAATAATAACATGGAATTATTGAAATCTGAAAGTTTGTCTGAAAGTCAAAATGCCAGCTATAACACATCAACTAGTTCTTCAGCCAGTGATGTACTAATTCGGACAACAGAAGTCAGGCCAGCATCAAATCCGACTTCATATACAAACAGGTCATCTTCGTTGAATTCCAGTGGCTTCAGTGACAATTCAAAACGGGTGAGAGTTAAAACTAAAAAATTACGGGAAATAAAATCTCCTTTTGAAGATACTCCACTACAGTCAAACGCAAGTGACACAAATATCCCTCCACCTTTATTTAAAACAAACACAACCCAATCTCAAACAGATACTGACAATGACAACAAAGTAACAGGGAGCTATACAAACTACAGGCTTGGGTATTCACGCTCCTCTTCAGATCAGCCAAAACTCCCAAAAGAGCATAGCAATATAATATCTGAAAACTTTTCAAATATGAATCCAAAAATAATCAACAAGACTAAAGAAGAAATGAAAAAAGTGCAACCATCATCCGGGAGTGCTAACTATGATAGTGAACCTAGAAGAGAAGGAAATGCCACAGGAGTAGATTTGTCTACATCAAAGGCAATTAATAGCACTCAGATGAAGTCAAAGCAAGCCACATCCTTCCCTGAGAAAGATTATGATCAAGCAACATCATCTAGTGTTAATCCAATGGTTGCTAGAAGAGTGATTGATGCACGGAAATATGGTATGTACAGATACAATTTCTTTTCAAAAATGCTCTCTTGGATTCTCACATATCCATTCACTTTACTGAAAGGGGAATAATCAAACATATTAAAGAATGTATAAACGATAAGGAATAATGTTGGAAAACTACATACTGTATTACTGTCTGTTGACGGGAGAGGCAGAGACTTCAGGCGAGATTACATATTTTCACAGGATTTTACCTTCAAGCATATGGCAGTTACTTTTATGACAACTGCATTTGAAACATATGATACGATACAAGAATTAATATACTACTGAACCTTCTTTCTAGATGACAGAAAGAGAAGTGATCAGCCAGAGATTGTTGATGTTCATCCAGATGAGATTGTTACAATACATGGGGTTAGCCCACCTCCTTCACAGGACACGTCACAAACTTCCCAGAGTTCTCTGTCATCAGACACTATCATCAAAGATAGATTCTCCAAGGTATTAAACTATTAATCCAACTTCTTGTTAATAAAATGTAATGGTGGCAAATTTATATAGATTACTGGACCCACACAGCCTGTTAGTCTTAGATTAATTTGAGACAGGGTGTAGATAGTCAGACTGACAATTCCCTATCATAGAGCAAACAATTACAACTAGCTAGTTCATCGTGTCATTTCGCCCCAAAAAACTGGTTCTTAATCTTAAAAAGCATTGCATACTCTCAAAATTAATTTGCATTCATTGTGTTATTTTCCTATATGTACTCGCTGAAAAAGCTGTCCGGGAATGAAACTAACAGTTCTCAGACCTTTGGGCTGGTGCAAATGTCACACCCTGTTTTTGGTCATATAAAGAAAATAGCTAAACAGACATTGCATTGTATTACTGTTTATTTGTTTTAGTTTGCTAAAGGGACATTACAGCAGGGTAGACCAAGAGAGATTAAAGACTCTTTGAGCCTAGAACCAACCAAAGAGTCAGATGTACAAATTCAGCAATATAAATTATCAGACAAACAGAAACTGTTGAAACAGAGTTTAACGGGAAGGTAATTAGTAATACTTAAATTTTTACCAATCAATGGCATTTTGGAGTATTTTGATGACATTCAAAAGACAGGCATAAAACATCTCAAGTATTGAAATTAGATCTGGATGTCTATTTCAAAGCTTTTGGCTTTTGGAACCCCCAAGTTTAAGAGTTTGTCAACTACAGCGTGTTTCATGTCATACTTTTACTTTAGGCAAGGGAATGCTCCTGTAAGGCGAGTTGTTCAGCCGAAATTAATAGGTCAAAACTCATCAGACACTAAAGAAGCCCAAGCTATCCCAGCATCCACTAGTTCAAGTACAGCTGTACATGAAAGTGTGACGGCAGCTGTAGCAGCCACTGCAGCTGTAGCTGTCACTCAACCTTTCATCAAGGTGAGTTATCTTTAAGTAAATATTTATGTTTTAAAATACATACTGATAGATACAGGTGTCTCATGCAAAATTCTAAATTTGTCATATACCTCTGAAAAATAATTCAACTTTGACAAAATAAACACTGAAAAAACTTTTTAAAGCTAATCTCTATCTATGATTGTATCAAACCATTTAATTGTCATTCATCTATTTTTAAGGCTCAGCAAGATCTTGAAACCAGAATGGCATTAATACTAGAAAAATTGTCTACAGTGAATAATCCAATGTCTCAGTCAGAGGACAATACTAGCAGTAAACAACAGCAATTGGAGCACCAATTGAGCCAAATCACAGAGAGGAGGCTGGAGTACCTAGAGAAAATGCAGCAACAAAATTTTGAAATTCAGGTATGAGTTGTATGTTATTATTAAGAATGCATAAGCCATAACACATAAGCCTATGTAGCATGTGTATCTCTATTATAACACTTGAATTAATACAAATTAATATGTTTATGCACAGACATTATCTGTTTTTTTTTCATTTAAATATTAAAGTTGTTTTGAATTTATATTCTCTATTACTCTAGCATGCTTTTTTGAAAAACATAATATCATATAGCCATCCTGTCTAAAACAATAAAATTGAAAGTAGGTTAATCTACATTTTGTAGATTAGTGTATACCTTACATGTATCTTAAATTCAATAAAGTCAGCAATTAAATGTTCTGAAGTTATAATGTACATTCACGTTCATTACATGATATACCTTCCCAATTATAGGCCAAAATTCTGGGACTGAATCAAACAGAATCCACTGGCACCAGTACCAAAAATGGACCAGGACCATCCAAAGATCTACCTGACAATATGAGACAATATGCAGAGCCTAGCAATGTTGCCATGCACTCTCACTCTGCCCCTGAAATGGCCCCCGAATCATCTGGCCTTGGACCTAGCCCTACTCAGAGATTCACCCCCAAGGCAAAATCTGTGGCCTTTTACAAACATAAAGTGGATGAACCAGAGAAACCTTATGTCAAGTAAGGCACATGAGAATTAGCTATAGTGACAAACTAAATGGTAGATGTGTGCCTGTTCACATTGTTTTCATAGTTTTATGTAATTCTGTGTTGCCAGTGTTTAATTAGACACAGTCCCTGGCCTCAAAACTTGCCTAGAAAGTTTGGAATATGGACAAATCAAATGTCCGGGTAAAGTCAGGTAATTTTAAGCTGGTGAAATTCTGAAATTTTGGTTTGCACACTGAAAACTTTATACATGAAGTCAGTGAACATGTAAGTTTGTTTTACTTTTGATTTAAAAATATCGTGGTAACCCTATATAATACGAACACTGTAATTGTTTCATGATCAATTTATGGACCATTTTCCTATAGGTTCACCAAGGCCCAGCCAGTGACAGATAACCATGGTACTCAGACATCTATACTGGATACTCCTGCCCCTAGAAGACAACCACCCCAGCCAACTGCATACACCCAGCACGCATCCAGTCAGGCCAGGAGACCAAGTAAAGGTAATCAAAAATGTATCCAAATGGCATAAGAGATAAATTCAATAATTCCACGAGTATATTTTGATATGGCACTGAAGATGAAATGGCAATATCATTTTTCAATATTTTTGATTTATTTTTGTAATTAACTTATTGATCTCAAAAATATTTAAAGTAGACCTGTCAAATTGGTAGATAACTAGTACCAGGCTGTTATAGTTTTTATCCTAAGTAAGAAATTTCTTGCATTTCATGTATGTTTATACATAAATCAATGAAATTATTATATTTGTCAGCTAAGGGTATTCTAGAGGAGATACTATCAGAGGCAGGGAAGACACCGGACATTTATTCAACTCCAGCTAGCAAACCAAGGGTTTACAATGATTCCCCAGAGCGACACAGATCTATGTACTCAACTCCAACTGTTAAGAAATACAATACAGGGTATCAGGATATAAGGTAGGATGTTAGTCTATATGTCTGTCAGGTCTGTAGCCAGGGAGATTGAAACAAAACCACACAGTTTTTATATTGCTAGATTACATGTAGAGCCATTTCTTTGAAAAGATGGCAAACGAAACACTCTTCTTCCAAAGTTGAAAACTGGCTATAGACGTATCTCTATCTGTTTGTCTTGCATCAAATTACTACAAATTACCCCCTATATTCTCTTCCTAAGATGCCTATGGTGGTTATAAAACAGAGAGTTTGATGGGGAAGGCAGTGACTTGATACTAGACTATGAAGATGTGTGTCATGTCTTGTTCTTATTCTCTATTTCTTTACTTTGAAAGAAACACATTATTACATGTATGTGTAGGAGTGTTTCATGGATTCCCACCCACACCAAAACCCCTTAAAAACTCTTACATGTATTGCCACTATGTCATGTAATATTCAATTTTATTATGTACCCACTCAATATTGGGTACATATTGTATTGTTAGTTCCAAATGATTCTATAATTTGTGATGTTAAACAAAGATTTTATAAAGTTATATTATTATAAAGTTCGGTGTGGTGTCTAGACCACCAGGACTGTAATTGTTGCATGCCACAAAATGATTAGAAATGGCAAACAAAAAAACTTATGTCACTGTAACCCAAATGTATAACTGCAACCACTTAACATCATTGTTATGTAATTTGTAATTATTCTACCAACTTAACTTTCCTTTAGAAATCCAATAATATGAAAGAGAGGGACTACTTGATATACCATTGCTTTTATTCTATATTTAAAATTTTAGTATGCATTCTCATGTAAAGATGTCACTTATGATCCAGGTGATTAGATTAGTAATCTTATTCATTCATAATTCCATGCTAATAATAGAGTTTATAAATCCTTAAATATTCCATCAGTATACCTGGGACCAACATCACAGTTAAGGCTTGTGTAAAATAATGTAATTTAGCAGCTGAAATAAGAATTATGTAGGACAGTGTAGTTATTTTTAATTAAACCCAAATTTTAAATTGAATGGGAAAGTGTTTATGTATGAAAGACTTGAATAAGTCTCTGATATAATTACGATCTCGTGTTGGGATCGCATGTAATTGATTATAACGTGATGTAAAGTACAATGTGACCACTATAATGCGGAAAGTTGCATTTTTGGATCACCCTTCACATAATGTTTAATAATAAAATAAAGAAGTAAGTCTGTGTATGACACTGAGATGAGTGGGCCGTAGTCCCGAGGCCGTAGTGTGAATGTCTATAATAGTGATTGAGGTAAACCCCAAAAATGATGCAACACTGATGAAGCAAAGGCGAACACAGGGAACGCACTCAGGTCGTAAATCCAAATTAACTGATCAAAAGGTTCTAGTATATTACAGTACTATATTACTATAATATGCGTTTGTGCAGTGGTATTATTTTCAGAAATGATCATGACATGATCATTTGTATAGTCTTCAAATAAAAAAATATTAAGAAATTGATTATAAATATTGAATACTGATGAACTTCTAGAACTTTGCATGACTTGATTCATTGACGTACTGCTTATAAAAATATACATTCATATATCAATCTTTAAAAATTGATAAGTAGTGGCACCGATGTATAATTGTTGTATATGGTTATGTTGAAGAATGAATACCCATAGGCATCTGGAGTCTCGGATCAACATGGAACATCGCATGATCCTTACGTATATGCCCCGTTAGTTTCCGCTAATTAATGCTAATGAAGATGAAACCTGAATCCTAAAGGAGAATGTTGCATGTTGCATGGAAACTTGTCACTTTAACTTAGCGTTTGCACACAAACATTTCGTGCATTTCGCTGATTAATTTAGTCCCTGTGATTAGAAGTTGAATACTGAGCAAACTATAGCCTGTATATTGAAAATGTTCTAATTTATTACTTCTTTGCACAGTTTAATTTCAATTGGAGAGTAATGAAAGGGTTGCTGACATTTTATTTTATTGCCGTCTCAAGGAATCGTTTAAAAATCGAATGTGCCCTGGGCGATCTCCCCGGGTAATCTCTTCAAGTTTTATTTTGAAATGGTGCCATTTTATTGTTCATTTTCTAAGTGCTGAATGAAATTTTGCGACTTTTGACAGAATACAAAAGCGGTACGTACTTCACTATTGGCTAATGTTGTCTGATTTAAAGAATAAAAGAGAATGACGTCAAAAGTAGAACGTTTAATTCTTTACCGTTTTGCACTAGTGAAGTTTATAGTTCTCTATTTAAACTAGTTTAACCTAATTTATTAAAAGAGTAAAACGAAATGACGTAGTATGACAGGAATGCCAAATTTGTCTACCCGGAGTTCACCATTCTCCATAATGTTCTACATTCCTCCAGCACTCATTGACTCGGTGACTGGGGAACTCCGTCAACTATGTGCGTACGGGATGCTCTTTTGCCATTTTATGAAACTATGGTGAACAACGATGTAAACCGAGTATACCAATGTCTTCAGATAAAAAATACTTTTTATTCAAGCCCCGATAATTACCATCTTAACGCGCTCGATCTTCTCTACGTTCAGCTGTTGACATCATGTTCAACTATTCCCCTAAGCATTTCGTGTTGTATTCGGTGACTCACTGGGATTTCACTTTTCCGTTTAAAATACTATTTCATGCTCAAGTTCTTATCATTTTGCTGAATCGTCATCAGAACTTCATATGACGACAACGAGGCGATTAGAATCGTATGCTGAGTTAGTGTATACACTCAATTTTAAAAACTAAAAAATGTCAATGACAATACAAAATAACTCGTTCAATACTCTATGAGCCCAAGGGAGATGATTTCGTATATCATAGCATATTTAATTCCAATAACGTGTGTAAAATTGCAGTAAAAACGTCACAACTTGTCTTTATTATCAGTTATCAATCAGTTATTAATCATTATCACATCCATACAGCTAATATTTGAAATTATCACATTATTATTGTCAACATAGTTCGTTTAATAAGTAAGACCCAAACGCATTTTTCAAACTTACATTTTTTTACTTTTCATTCGTTTGACATTGTTTTTTAAAACATAGCTTCATTTTTACTTTCGGGAAATTTTCGATCTCCCTTTTCAGAAGGGTCATTTTTGAAAATTGTCAAATATTATTTTTTACTACAACTTCAATTGTTATGTGTTTTAATTTATTTAAACGTTTTACACTATCAGTTGTTACCACTTTCATTGAAAGAAATGCATAAAACGATTCCATTTAGGAGCGGTATGAGACCAGTGAAATCCATCTTCAACTTCTAAGGTACACAACGTGAAGTTGAAGCAGTTGAAACCTTTGTGAATCAAAATGAGTGAAATCAGCGATTAGGGATATTACATCTGCGATACACTTGAAGTACGAGGGGTAAAAAGATTTGTACTTGATCCGATGTTAACCAAATTTATCAACATGTTCATCATTGTTCATTACGATTTAAGAGCGCAATGCTGATGGGGCAGCATATCAACTGCCTGAATTTGCTGACGCATGTCATACTCAGTTATACAACTTTAGTACCAATAGATGGTGGAAGTAGTAAGCTATTCTAGCCTAGATTATTAGTCATGTTTGAAATGATAAAGTGATAAAAGACCCGTATGGTATAGTTGCACCAAGTGAGAATGAATCATTTCGAATAGAGCCGATAAGCTGTCGGGATCGGCTTTTGATTCTTGAATGAACTGCGGAAAGTGAAACGTGGTAACCTTGGGGGTTTATTGAATTCAAAGGCGTCTAGGAATGAAATTATTGGCGATGACGTCATAGGACGATAAGACCCTTTCCTTTCAGTGTTTGTGGATTCGGAGTCATCGATCACCGGCACTGACACCGTATGCTGAAATTACATTAATCCGAGAGAGGCAGAGATAAATAAAACGTGCGTGCCATTTGCCTAGAGAACTGCAAACCAGGAACATCTGAGCATGGAAGACGTGTCTAATAACGAATTTGATGGATTATTCAAAAGAGAATTTACTGTATAAACAAGAGTAAGACGAATACCGTTGTTTCCCGAGTGTTGAAATATGGTTGTTTTACTGCCAACTGAGATGAAGTCACGCACGCTATTAGCAACTTAGTCCCGCTGGCGAGCTTTATATCACGCAAAATTGAAATTTAATCTCCAGAGTCGAGTGGCTCGTGTAGTCGGGCATGTGGTTGGTTACCCGGCAGGCTGTAAGGCAAGTGTTGCAGGCATACGATACGGATTAATTGTCTATATAATAAACCTGGAGCGCTAGAAGATTGATTGTTCTACGGCACTTGTAGGCAACATTCTTAACTGGAATTCTTTCAATTACACCTGCGGGATTGAGGCAGTGTGCAGTTGTTTTTCTGCAGCTGTTTGTCACATAGTTGCTGCTACTGGACATCGTCGGAGATTGAAACTAATTGACCATCTTTTTTGAGCGCAATAGTCCTTTAATTATTTGGACAGTGAAACGTTAAACTATCAATTGCTTTCTTACTTATAGGCTTTAACAGTTCGCGCATGCGCATCACACGTAGAGCAAGTAATAACAATCGGACAGTTACTGTGAAGTTCTCCATAAAACGGGACACTGTGTCCTCACTGCAGACTTGACAGTTATATAGTGATATCTCACGGAAAGATTGAAGTTTCTGGACAATATTAAGATGTCTGTCCCGCATCGAAGTCAGCGGCAACACTGCTATTTGTGTGATTTACCGAGGATGCCATGGGCAATGATACACGATTTTAGCGAAAACGTTTGCAGGGGGTGTGTCAACTATGAGGGCGCGGACCGAATAGAAATGGTAATCGAGTCTGCACGACATATGAAGCGTGTCCACGGCTTCCAAGTGGACGTACGTCCTGGAATGAAGCCACCACCGATGCCCGGGAGGGAGCCACTTCATCCACACGGACCCCCGCCAACTTTAGAAAGATACCCCGTTCATGATAATGCCAACAGACCTCGTATGCTTGAGTATGCACACCCTAGGCAGTTG